GGATTTATCTAACTATTATTATTTTAAAGTATTTTATCATTAGTAATGATCATTTTTTTCATTATTATTATTAAGCCACTATTTTGATTCTTTATAATGCAATGTCTTAAATTTGTTTATTAAAGTATAATGATTCAACAGTATTTATCTTACAATAGATATCACTATTATAATACTTACATTCTTTTTGGCTAAATTATGTTATTCTTTCTTAGATTTCTCTCAGTTTGAAAATTTGAATTATTAATATTTATATTTGGTTAATTTAAAGATGTAATAATGATAAAATATATATTAATTTCCATTTATATTTGATTCTTTAATATACTGGTAATATATAACCTGGTTTAGCAGTAGTGCATATATATCAAATCTATTCAACTGAATAAAACAAAGAACAATGTGAGATAGAATACTTGTTTACAATAGATTAAAATTCAGCTATTACTAAGATGATAGTTGAACTTGGAGATTCAAATGTTTATGGTGTTGTAAAGAATTAGAAGTTGCAAAAAATGAATATGAAAATGGAATATAAGAAGGAAAGACTATGGTATTAAGCTAAGAGGATTCAAAGATGTCAAATATCAAAAAGTAAAATTGGTCGTTTAAGTCCTGGTAATTCATTAAAAATTTAATTTGAATACATCCAACAATTATAAGTATTTATGAATTAATTTTGGAAATTAGAATTGTCTTCTATGGTAGATACAAGTTATCTTGCAATTAATAAATTAAAGAACACATCGAAAAATTTTGCTCAACAACGTTTTTTTTTGAAAAACCTTGCCAACATTCAAGCAATGAAATTTAATTATAAGTAAAATATTACTGTAATAATTAATATGTAAAAACTTATTACATATGCTAAATCTCACAACACACTCAATTGTATTAAATTCTGATATTAATGTCAAAGAAAAATAAATTGATTTATAAACTCCATAGAACTAATTGATTATTAATTTAGATACGAATGATCCTGAAAATATATCACCAAATAAAAAGTTTGAATAAATGCTGAATACTAAAACAATCTTTGTAATCAAGTAAGGTAGCTTAACATGGAATTAATGAATGAGATTCAAAAGCATGGAGATTGGGGAAAATTTTTAAAATGAGTATTATTAAACATTTGGACATTTAAATTTAAAGTTTGAATTATTATTTTCCTCCAATGATTTTAATAACTCTTATGCAATACTAAGCAATACTAAGCCATATCGTAAAAATATCCATTTCTTTGTACAAATAATGATGCTTTATAACATATTAAATATTGTGCTACTCTAACCCTCATTCCTAAATTTAATGAATTTCCAATAGATGATGCCTATCAATCATATATTAATGGTTTAAATTTATCTTAATATAAAAAATCAAAAAGGGTGGTTATTTAATTTTTATTGATCATAGTGGTTCAATGGAAGGTATAAGAATTGAAAAAGCCAAACAATCACTCATACTATTTCGGAAGAGCCTTCCAGAAGATAGTATTTTTAACTTTATTTCATTTGGTAGTGATGTAGAAAAGATGTTCGATATTGAACAAGCATATAATTAACATACACTAAATTAGGCAATAAAGTATGTTCAAGAAATGAATGCAGATTTGGGTGGAACCGATATATTAAAAGCCTTGAGCTAAGGCATTTATAATGAAAAATTATTAATAAAGCAAATACCATTCAGATACTTTAAACGCTTTTTTATTAACAGATGGAGAGGATTCGACTAAAAAATCATTAAGTTTTAATAATAGGACAAGATTACAATTTTACAATATCTAAATATCTTCATAGAATATTATGTAATGATAAAAATATATTAGCAGAAGAAGTTAACTTGATCATTAATTGAGAAAAATAATTGTTGAAAAAATATTGATCATATATTTGATAGATATATAAATTATGTTAACTTGTACATGTTTTCATTTTTAATCACAGTCTAATAGGTTTTCCAAAATTTAACTACACTTTTGTTTAAACAATGTCTTTAAATCTATACCTAATTTATTTATAAACTCTCCTTTGAAAATTAGGGCTCCCTATGATTAAAATATTGCCTTTTAGGATATAAGGAGTGTAGTGATGTAATTGGAAACTAAAAATATCAAAAAATTAATATTACCTTCTGATATAGGACTGTTTGATTTTAGTGGAATTTTATATTATGTTTAAAGATCTTTGTAGTTTTTATAGGTGAATTTAATTTCTAATATTATTTTGACATCCCATAGAAGGATAGAGCAATCATAACTACCCGAAGCTAATATATTTCCATCAGGAGAGAAACAAACTGAGTAGACATAATGAGTATGACCATCTAATTTGGCTGTTTATTATCCTGTTTTGACATCCCATAGACGGATAGATTTATCACTACTACAAGAAGCTAATGTATTTCCATCAGGAGAGAAACAGACTGACATAACATAATGAGTATGACCATCTAATTTGGCTTTTTATAATCCTGTTTTGACGTCCCATAGATGGATAGAATAATCATCACTACCAGAAGCTAATGTATTTCCATCAGGAGAGAAACAGACTGACATAACATAATGAGTATGACCATCTAATTTGGCTTTTTATAATCCTGTTTTGACGTCCCATAGATGGATAGAATAATCATCACTACCAGAAGCTAATGTATTACCATCAGGAGAGAAACAGACTGAATTAACAGCAGATAAATGACCATCTAATTTGGATATTTATTATCCTGTTTTGACATCCCATAGACGGATAGATTTATCACTACTACAAGAAGCTAATGTATTTCCATCAGGAGAGAAACAGACTGAATAAATACAATCATCATAACAATCTAATTAGGCTTTTTATGATACTGTTTTGACATCCCATAGACGTATAGAGTAATCATCACTACCAGAAGCTAATGTATTACCATCAGGAGAGAAACAGACTGAATTAACGGCAGATAAATGACCATCTAATTTTGATATTTATTATCCTGTTTTGACATTCCATAGATAGATAGAGTTATCATCGCTACCAGAGGCTAATGTATTTCCATCAGGAGAGAAACAGAGTGATCTAACAGAATCACTATTACCATCTAATTTGGCTTTTTATTTTTCTGTATTGACATCCCATAGACGTATAGAGTAATCATCACTACCAGAAGCTAATGTATTTCCATCAGGAGAGAAACAGAGTGATCTAACAGAATCACTATGACCATCTAATTTGCCTTTTTATTATTCTGTATTGACATCCCATAGACGTATAGACCAATCATCACTACCAGAAGCTAATGTATTTCCATCAGGAGAGAAACAGAGTGATCTAACATATCCATAATGCCTATCTAATTTGGCTTTTTATTATCCTGTTTTAACATCCCATAGACAGATAGTCTCGTCATCACTACCAGAGGCTAATGTATTTCCATCAGGAGAGAAACAAACTGATCTAACATAATTACTATGACCATCTAATTTTGCTTTTTGTTTTTCTGTATTGACATCCCATAGACGAATAGAGTGATCATAACTACCAGAAGCTAATGTATTTCCATCAGGAGAGAAACATACTGATATAACAGAGTAATCATGACCTTCCAATTAGGCTTTTTCTTATCCTGTTTTGACATCCCATAGACGGATAGATTTATCACTACTACAAGAAGCTAATGTATTTCCATCAGGAGAGAAACATACTGATATAACAGAGTCATCATGACCTTCTAATTAGGCTTTTTCTTATCCTGTTTTGACATCCCATAGACGGATAGACTAATCATCACTACCAGAAGCTAATGTATTTCCATCAGGAGAGAAACAGACTGAGTAGACAGTACTAGTATGACCATCTAATTTGGCTTTTTATTATCCTGTTTTGACATCCCATAGACGGATAGACTTATCATCACTACCAGAAGCTAATGTATTTCCATCAGGAGAGAAACAGACTGAGTAGACAGTACTAGTATGACCATCTAATTTGGCTTTTTATTATCCTGTTTTGACATCCCATAGACGGATAGACTTATCATCACTACCAGAAGCTAATGTATTTCCATCAGGAGAGAAACAGACTGAGTAGACAGTACTAGTATGACCATCTAATTTGGCTTTTTATTATCCTGTTTTGACATCCCATAGACGGATAGACTTATCATCACTACCAGAAGCTAATGTATTTCCATCAGGAGAGAAACAGACTGAGTAGACAGTACTAGTATGACCATCTAATTTGGCTTTTTATTATCCTGTTTTGACATCCCATAGACGGATAGACTTATCATCACTACCAGAAGCTAATGTATTTCCATCAGGAGAGAAACAGACTGAGTAGACAGTACTAGTATGACCATCTAATTTGGCTTTTTATTATCCTGTTTTGACATCCCATAGACGGATAGACTTATCATCACTACCAGAAGCTAATGTATTTCCATCAGGAGAGAAACAGACTGAGTAGACAGTACTAGTATGACCATCTAATTTGGCTTTTTATTATCCTGTTTTGACATCCCATAGACGGATAGACTTATCATCACTACCAGAAGCTAATGTATTTCCATCAGGAGAGAAACAGACTGAGTAGACAGTACTAGTATGACCATCTAATTTGGCTTTTTATTATCCTGTTTTGACATCCCATAGACGGATAGACTTATCATCACTACCAGAAGCTAATGTATTTCCATCAGGAGAGAAACAGACTGAGTAGACAGTACTAGTATGACCATCTAATTTGGCTTTTTATTATCCTGTTTTGACATCCCATAGACGGATAGACTTATCATCACTACCAGAAGCTAATGTATTTCCATCAGGAGAGAAACAGACTGAGTAGACAGTACTAGTATGACCATCTAATTTGGCTTTTTATTATCCTGTTTTGACATCCCATAGACGGATAGACTTATCACTACAACCAGAAGCTAAAGTGTTTCCATCAGGAGAGAAACAGACTGATTTAACATAATCACAATGACCATCAAATTTGACTATTTTTTTCTTAGTATTAACATCCCACAATTAGACAGCCCCAACAGCATCATTAAAAGCAAAGGTATTTCCATTAGGAGAGAAACAGAGTGATCTAACATATTTATTACCACTATCAAATTTGGCTTTTTATTATCCTGTTTTGACATCCCACAGACGGATAGACTTATCACTACCACCTGAAGCTAATGTATTTCCATCAGGAGAGAAACAGATTGAATAGACCTTTTTACTATGACCATCTAATTTGGCTTTTTATTATCCTGTTTTGACATCCCATAGACGGATAGACTTATCACTACTACAAGAAGCTAATGTATTTCCATCAGGAGAGAAACAGACTTAGGTGACAGCCCTAGTATGACCATTAAATTTATTTAATTCATGGATTCTTATGTTTTTCCACTTACATTTAACTAACAATGCTCCATTCAAATTTATTCCGCTTATGTTAACGTTATTAAATTCTGATCCACTTAGATTACATCTAACAAAATTACTTCCCATCAAAGAAGTATTTTAAATCTTAATGTTTTCAAAATTTTTGTTTTTAAGGTCAGCTTTCATCTAAACCAATATATGTAATGAATTTGACCCACATTATATTAAAGTGTTATCTATAGATGTGAGATGAACTAAAAATTCAAGAAATTATATGACCTTTTTAGTACCCTTGATGCTTTAAATTAAATTTAGTTTAGATTCTTGATTTTCATCAGAGGAAAAGTCTTTTTAATTGAAGTCATGATCTTTTAAATTTTTTAATACATCTGTAATTTGTTTCATGTAATTTGTAATAACAGACAATTTTTATTCAATATCAGCTTGGGTGATATTCTCTATTTGTTTTAAAATTTATGATTCTAAAAATATTTGAATTACATTACCAGAAAGATATCCAATACAATTTTAAACTTTTTCCTTTCTTAATATTTCTAATATAGCATTAAATATTTATTCATCCACATCTTTAACTTAAGCCAATATGTCAGTTAGAACTCCCTTCTCTTAAAAAGGGCCCTGCATTTTTTTTTTATTTTTAATATTGAATTTCTATTACTCTAACTTTAATTTATATACTGCAAAATCGATAAAAGTATCTAGTGCATTTCTTAAAAAAGAAGTTAGGACTTTGTGTAGATTTGGAATTGATTGTATTAGATATAAATGACGCTATTGAGAATTCATTTCAACATCTGCATTACTTGATTTTTTATTAATATAGAATATTTTAATTTTATTTGAAATCGAATTAATACTAAATTTGAGTTCAATTATATATCATTTATTTTTCTTGTTTTCCCTTTATTTGGAGAACAAATAATTGTAATTTTCATTTCGCTACTTTAAGAATGCAATATGTTTGCAATGTCCTTTTAATAATTATTTTTCATTAAGAGTTGCCATAAATAAAATTATTATACTTATTGTTTTTATGAGAGAATTCAAACTTTAATTAGATACAGGTTGATGAGATTGTTCAAGATTTTGTATTCATGAGTAGTATGATCCTTCATGAATAGATTCCCAATACTAAATAATGGTCCAATTATTTAGAAAAAAAAAAAGCAAAAGGAAACTTTTTGGAGAGCCCATTTTTGCTTTCAAACTTGGCATGACCCTAAAAATATTTTATAATTTTTTTTATAAAAAAAAAGTAGAAGGGGGGATATTGTAAAAAGTGAAGATGTACTTTTGTAACAATTGTCTCCACATTTTTGTAGAAATTAAGATGAAAACTTGAGATTATTCAACTTTAAATTCCTCATTTTATGTCTTTCTGATTAAATTGACACAATTACCATGCTTATTAAATAGTAATTATGTTTATTTAATAAACTATTATGGAAATAATCCACCTTAATTAATTTTACATTCATTTAAAATAATATCTTTTGTTTTAGTAAGCTATTGATTTACACTATTCATTTTATAGACATGCATCTAATTGCCTTTAAATGGTTGAAATATGAATTAATTATTGTTGATAAAGCATATTCGTTATCCATAACATTCAACTGTAATATTTTAAATTAAAATCCACTTTTTATTATCAATATTTTTTCATCCATTCCACAAGAAATAACTTTATTTTATTCATCATTTAAACTTAATTAATAAACAGGACTAGTATAATCATTGATAGTTGATTAATAGATCCATTCCTTTTATTTATTCCAAAATTTAATAGTATTATCACTACGACTAGATATAAAAATATCTTCATTATTATTCATAATCAAAAATTGAATAGCTTTATTATGTGCTTTAATAGTTTATGAGCAATTCCATTAATTATTATTGCTTGACCAAATTATAATAAATCCATCACTATCTCCAGATATCAATTCATTTGATTTTTCATGAAATATAGAGTGTATCGATTCTGAATGTTCATTTATGACGTGTAGTAATTTCAACATTTCTTACTTAAATTCTTATATTTTTATTTGTTTATCACAACTAAGTGCTACAATTTAACAATCTTTATTATAAGCAATTGCATAACATTCATCATTATATTTAATAGAATTATTTTAAATTAATTCATATTTAAATGGTTTTAGGTTTTGTTTTAATATACGATCATTTTACTCCAAAGAAGATTAATTTTTTATTTTTTTAAGTATTTCGTTTACAATTAGTTTTCCTTATTCAATTGATTGTTTAAGTTATTTGAATAAATTTTTTCACAATCTTCCATTTTACATAAATCTTTGATTAATTTGTCAATCTGAGATAATCCTAATTATGGGAATTGTTAAACATTAAAGTTAAGATAAGGAAGGAACAAATTAAGACTATCAAGGGCGACTTTAATCTCTTAAA